GTGCACTGACCATGTGTGACAGTATATGCCCTATTCTGCACCTGTAGTCTGAAGCTTTCCCTTTTCCAAAAAGAAACTGGCCCCGGATGAAGCAAGAACTGGTCGGGTTGCCATGGTTATCTTATATTTGGCACCCACCAAAGACGACATGCCTTCAGAGGACCTGGATTTTCCCTTGCTGACTAATTTTGGCAAAGGGGAAGGATTACAACATGACGGAATGGTCTCCGAAGCCCTTGGCATGGCTCACAAAGGGAGGGCATTACCGCTGGCACAAATGCAAAGGAGGAAAAATGGGCAAGAGAATCACCCAAGTGAGCCTCACAGCACATTCCCAACCCTGCTTTTCACATCAAGCGAATAATTAAGGGAAAAAGGGAAAGAGGAGGAAATGGAAACTGCTTTTATATGAGAAACATACACACATACCCCAAGCAATGTAAATGAAAATCAATAGCCTTGACCAAACTGATTTTTACTTCACATACACAGCTGCAACAGTGATTCTCTAGTTATTGGCACAGAGGAAGAGGGTCAAAGTTGGTGTTTGGGGTGGGGAAAGGGAGGTCCTCAGGCATTTAGCTTTTTTAGTCTTTGAGAGCAGACATCTATATAGTGTGGTAAGGTTTGCACAACACTTTGCCTTCTCTCTTCACAACAACCCTGTGAGTTGATACCTGGACGGAGAAACTAAGGCTCAGAGTTTTATGACTAGCTCAAGGTCATACAGCTCTTAAATGTCTGCTGCAGGCCAAAAATTTAGTCTTCATGACTCCAAATCTACCACTCTACCCTTTATGCACACTGCCTCTTATGCGTAACAAACATCACGACTGCTGTGAAAACATTCACTTTCCTTAGGGAAAAACAAATGTTCTGTGACCGAGATTGGAGAAGGGGAAGATAGTGATGAAGTGTATCAGTGTAGACAGGGGCATGACACATTAGGGTTGCATAGGAGAATGTCATTGAGGAAAATACCTGGACAAAATGCACATGGTAGGGAGGGGAGGCAGGGGTTGTCCCAACATGATTTCTAATTTTCCTTCTATAAGATAATGGGAAATATCTGACAAGGTATGCAAAAATCTTTGCTTTCTTCCTTTGCTGAGAACCCTAAGGAAAAATGAAAAGATGACTGCTCTTGAATTTATGTCCTAAGCAAGGAACATAATTTAAAAGTGAAAAGGGGTTGGGGAGCAAAAGAACTCTAAGGTGGCCCCCCTCTTCAGTGTTTTGTGGAAGTCGGAAATTCTCATGGATTCATCTTATCACAACAAATTTAACTTCAATCTTTCTCCCACACAATTCATCTTCAACTCAGTGGCCAAATTGATATTCCTAAAGCACAGGCTTGACCACTTATTCCCTGTTCATGAAGCTCAGGTGGTTCTCAATAACTTCTAATATAAAATACAAGCTCCTCTGCTTGACTTTAAGGCCCCTCGGTGGCACAATGGATAGAGCGCCAGGCGTGGAGGCAGGAAGACTCACCTTGAATTCAAATCTGGCCTCAGACACTTACTAACTGTGTGACTCTGGGCCAGTCACTTGACCCTGTTTGCTTCAGTTTCCTCATCTGTCAAATGAACTAGAAAAGGAAATGGCAAAGCACTGCAGTATCTTTGCCAAGAAAACCCCAAATGGCATCACAAAGAGTTGGCCATAACTGAAAAATGATTGAAAACACACACACACACACACACACACACACACACATATACCCTTTTAAGGCTTACCACACATTACTGTCCTTCAGCCACTCTAAATCCAGTCAAATTGACCTACTGTACATCATGATTTCCCATCTCCCTTCCTTTACTCAGACCATCTCACATGCCTGGAATACCTTCCTCACCCTTGTCATTGTTCAGTTGAAGTGCTGCCTTCTTGAGGACTATCCTGATTGTCCCAGTTACTAAGGTCCTCCTCAAAATCACAGCATTTTATATTTTGTATTTATTTATCTGTACATCGCCTTTCAGCTCACAAATGTTCAATACACGGCTCTCATTTTCATTTATAGAATACTCAAGAATAACACACATTAACCCTAAGAAAAAATCCTTTTGCCCTCAGTTTATTTCATAGCATAGGGGTCAAAAGTGTTGGAGCTTTCAGCTGTAAAACTCACCAGAGGCTGGATCTGTGGGTAGGAGATGGGTCAATTTCAGGTTTTCCATGTTTTTAGCACTTCTAAATTGTCATCCTCTCCTCCCCCTGCCTTTTCCCTTGGGATTAAAAGCCTCAGCTTGGCTCTCTTCTTACTAGGCAGGTGATTAACTCACTTGAATTCACCTTCCTTCTAACATGATCTCCAATTTATGCTCTCTGCATCTTGTTTGTATAATGTTGTTTGCAATGTCTCCCCCATTAGACTGTGGTCTCTTTGGGAAAAGGGACTATTTTTTTGGGGGGGGAGTCTCTTTTTGTATCCTCATAACTTAGCACAGTGCCTGGCACAAGTCAGGTACTTATTTACTAAATGCTTGTTGACTTGACTTGAACCTTAGGACTCAAAAATGTGCTAATTTCCCGGCACTGAAAAGGAAGAGAAAACATTAAATCATAATAGTTTTCATTTATGTTGCACAGGAACATAGATTTAGAGCTGGCATCTCTAAACCTGGAATATGGATCTTATATGATTCAACTCTATAGATGAAGAACTCAGTCCCAGAGAATTTAAATCAGTAGTGTCAGACTCAAATAGAAATGTGACCCAGATCACTACAAATTAACTACAATTTAACTACAAATTAACCAGAAAACCACGAGTTAACATTATCTATGTTGTATCTATGTTGCATTGTATTTCTATTTATTTTGTTAAATACTCCCCAATTTCATTTAATTTTATTTCATTTCATTTATTTCTGGTTCTGGTAACACTCAGGAGTGTTGTAGGCGTGTGGTTTGCTGGTGGCGTGTTTGATAACTCCTGTTGAAATGACTTGCCCAAGTTCCTCTGGGCAGCAAGATTGAACCAAGTTCATAGGATTATCAATCTAGAGTTAGAAGGGACTTTAGAAGCCAACTCTCATTATACAGATGAGGAAACTGAGGCCCACTGATCACACAGGTATTAATTGTCAGAGGTGGGATTTGAACCAGTTATTTAACTCTCAGTCAAGTGCTCTATAGAGGTCAAAGCCTGGACTTTTTCTATTGTATCATGCTGCCCACCATACGTATGGAATTAAAAAAAAATGCTTTTACATACATAATTTGACTTGATCCTAATAACCGCTCTTTGTGACAAAGGTGGTACCATTACTATTCTTCCCACTTTCCAGACAGAGTAACAAACTCAGAGATGGTAACTTGGAAAAGGTCACACTGCTGGTAGCTAGCAGTGCCAAGATTGATGCCTAGGATTCTAAATTTCTTGTTCCTTCCACTAGGCTATATTATGCCAGCCCAACTGAAATTAACACCAGTCCTCTGGAAAGAAACCATTCTGGGGGGGAGGGTGTTAAAATACCACCGATTTCTCTTTCACCATCAACTGGAAACCACACTTTACATTTGTTCCGGTGACTTTCAGCCCAGGCTATTTGCAGATGCTTGAGAAACATTAACTCACAATCAGAATTTAGCAAGCTACTGAAGGTGAGAGAATATGAGAAAAGCAAGTGACTAGCCAAAGTGGAAGGAGCGAGTTGCAATGCAGAAGCACAGGACCCAGAAGCTTCTCTACTTTAGTCCCAAACTCCTCTCACTTCCCCCAGTTCCCATTGGAGAATAATGGAAAAACTAGATGAGAAATTCCATTTAGTTTGTTCCTTCCAGTTTGAAAGGGATTCCTGAAAGTTCATTGGTCTTTACAATTCAACCAGCACATAGAGGTAGCAATATGTCCACGTTGGACTAAAAGACCTCAAAGATCCCCTGCGGCTTTAAATCTGTGATCTAGTAAACATCTTCTAATATGACCAATAATTGGGCAGACATGAGAGGGACTCTCTCTCCAAATTGTTTACTCAGGCTCTAAAAAGAATTTGTGTTTTGTATAAAGGTTTGGGGAAAGACAAGTGTCTCTCATATCTTTCTGCCTGCCTGCCTGCCTTCCTTCCTTCCTTTTTTCATCTTTTCTTTACTTCTTCTTCCCTCCCTTTCCTTCCCCATTCACTCCCTCTTGCAGAGAAAACTGAAATAAACAAAACTATTCTTTCCCTGTCAGTTGATCATTGTCCATTTTCAAATGGTTTTGGCTTGAGATTTTCTTCTTAAAAACTGTCTGTGTAGCTTAGAATGACACAGCTAAGGAGAGGTTGACATGAAAAACCTCCAAATTCCCTGTATTCTCTTTGTGTGACAGAGGGTCAGGAAGACATCTCATTGGAGGGAAGGGGACCACGGAGATAACAATGCTGGCAACAGTTTTCATTTCCGTTGACCAAGAACAATTTTAAAAATGGTAACTGGAACCCAAAATCTTAGTGTTTGAACCCACTGGCTGCAATAATAAGTAAAACAGAAGTAGGAAGGAAGGACTACACCATGGGATGGATCCTGTCTATTGCCTCTCAACCTGAAACAAATTATAGAGGTACAAGGGGGCCATTTGCCTTAGAATGAGATATACAGAAGAGTTTGTGATAGGCTCAGAACCAACAGAATCATACTCAAAACCTACAAAGCATCTAAAAACCTGGAAACTAGAATAAAGAAAACTGTTCTTTACATTAGGCTATATCATGCCAGCCCAATTTCCTCTGGAAATTCATCCTATTCTACCAGAAGCCATGCTTATGGAGGTCAGATTTCATCAATTTATCCTCTACCACTTTATTATAGCCTATCTTTATCACTCTTCAGCAGTGTGGATGGCTGGGAATGAAGAAGAGGAGTAAGCCCCCACAGTGAAGGCATGCATAAAAACATGTTCAGCAATACCTGTGTCCCCTCAGCACCTCTTCATAGCCCCAATGAGGGGAGCCATTGATCTGACCCTATCACTACCCCAGCTCAGTATTACCATGATCTCGTGTTGTTACCTGGGCTGGAGCACTGGATGAAAGGTGAGTCAACTCTCCAATTCTGGTAGCAGCCCGGGGATCACTAGAGCTGATCAAAACAGGAGCACTAATTTCCATGGAATGCCTATTGCTCATAGCCTGGGAGGATTTGTGCGTCATACTGAGGGCAGTGAAGGAGTGGCGTTTCTTGGCATTCTTCTTGCCATCAATACGCCGCTGAATGGCACTGACTGCTCCCGAGCTGCTTAAGGTAGAACACTGGGCCAGATTGCCTGCCATGTTGGTGTCAGATGGCAGGGAGACATCGCAGCCAGATGCAGCAGCTAAGCATGTCTTGTCCATCTCAATAAGCTGTTTGGCGGATTCGTTGAGCTGAGTGCAAGAGGGGAAAAAAAGGGGGGAGGGGGAACATTAAATAATTGTCACATGCTATTTCCAGCTCTTTGTACTCTCTCCCTTTCTCTATTAGCACTTTTAAATAGATACTGGCAAAGTCTCCAAATGGGTCGGCTCTTTCTAGCAGCCTGATCCAGCACAAATGCTATGGTTAAAACAAAAACAGACAAAACCAAAAACTTTAAAAAAAAAAAAAAAGATGGAATGACATCTGTAAGTTTTACTGAAAAATTTTCTAGAAGAGCTGCACTTCCATAAAGGCTCATGGAACTGTGACAGAAAGCAGGATACTTATAGAACACAAGAGACTTCTTTTCTTTCTTTTTTAAGCCAAGCCTACTAGGTTTTGTTCAAATCTTTTACTGTGATCTACAATTCTGGTATACCAGGCTCAGGAGACAAGCAAAGACAGGGAGGGATGTGATTCCATTTTTCTGGAAAATACAGCAGCTAGCCAAACAATCAATGTTGTCCAACATATTCTGAATGTTTGACTTGAAGGTATGCTTCAGTGAACTACGGTTTCATTTCTCTAGCCTATATTTAACATTACAACCAGCTTTTAGGGCTTCCCTTTGTAGATTTGGATCACTTTAGGAAAATCTGATGATTATGACTGGAGTGCTAAATTTCTAGTTTGTGGTTCATTGCTAAGAGTCCAGGAGTTTTGGTCTGAATGTTGTGATTTTAGTTTAGAGCCATTTTTAACAGGTATTTGGAGGGGGTTGGGGGGAGAGCTCAAGGAAGTCACTGCTTTAATTCCGCCATCTTCATGTTGTGATTTTAGTAATAAGAAGTTTTGACTTTTAGTAGTAAGCCAAGATGGGGATTATTATCTTCTATCTTTTCCAAAATGGCCTTTCTGGTCCCACGATCATGTGTCTGAGTCTGACTCAATTCTAGAATGTTGGAGGGAGACAGGACCTGGGAATTAGCTAATCTAGCTCCCTCATTTTTCCAGATGATGAAACTAAGGGTCATTAGAGATCAAATGATTTTTCCAACATCTCACAATTAGTAAGCTAGATGAGAACCTGGGGCCAGTTTCTTCTGATTCCTCATTCAATGCATGATGGTCATATGACCAGGACTAAAAAAAATTCCTGGGGATGATGGCACAGAGTTGGAGGATCATTTCTTATATTATCCTACTCTACCAACAGGTAATATTATCAAGGCAGACACCTTTCAGAAGAGATTCTGATACTTAATAGTAACCATCAGAAGACACTATAATTCAGTGGAGATACCACGATCAAATTTCAACATGGTAACTGGTAGTATTTCATTCCAACAAATTAAATGAGCATTCTTTATTCATTAAGCTTGAGAGTTGTACTTTTTGCAAAGGATGCTTTTTATCTATCATAGATAGTAGCTGTGATTTGGGGGAAGATAACACATGATAACCTCAGTGTACCTGGAGTTACAGCTCACACATATTTACATCAAGTAAGAGATTGATTCATACTCAGCAGCCTTCAGGTTAACACATGGCATGAAGAATCTACCTATTCTTTGCCATGTGCTTTCTAAAGAATAAATTATGAAAGTGTACTGAATGAAATTGGGGCAGTTTAGTAGCACAGTAGATACAGTGCTAGGCTTGGAAGATCATTTTTGTGAGTTCAAATCTAGCCTGAGACATTTACTAGCTGTATGACCCTGAGCAAGTCATTTTACCCTGTTTGCCTCAGTTTCCTCATCTGTAAAATAAACTGGAGAAGGATGTGGCAAAGCACTTTGGTGTTTTTGCCAAAAAAACTCCAAATGAGGTCACAAAGAGTTGGACACTACTGAAAAACGACTGAACAACAAATGAATAAAAATGAATATTTTCTGGAGTGTAAATGGTAACTTGTGACTTGCAAAAGTCCTTTTAAAATAAAATGCTCTCCTTGATGATCAATGCCTTTCATAACTTGCTCTGGCCATCCCTCTCCCACCCCTCCCCCACCACTATGTACTTTGTGATCCAATGATACTGGCCCCCTTTCTATTCCTCCCACAAGACTCTCCATCTCCTCACTATGGGCATTTTCACTGGCCGTTCCCCATACTTAAAGTACTTTCCCTCCTCATCTCTGCCTCCTGGCTTCCTTAGCTTCCTTCAAGTCCCAGCTAAAATCCTACCAGCTACCCCTCTAGCCTTAATTACTTTTAATTCTAGTGCCTTCCCTTTGTTAATTATTCCCAATTTATCCTGTATATAGCTTGTTTGTACATAAATATTGGTACGTTGTCTCTCCATTGGACTATGAGCTCCTCAAGGGCAAGGACTGTCTTTTAACTTTCTTTGTATTCCCAGCACTTTGCATAATGCCTGACACATAGTAGATGCTTAATAAATATATATTGACTGTTATAAACCATCAACATTTTATGCCTGATGTTTCAACATGGCTCATCCCAAGGTCACAAGGGACAATTGTCATAAAAAGAGGAAATAAAACACAGAAATATTTTCATTGTGTAAGTATAAATTAATGATATGAGACAACATTAAGATCTTCGACTAAATTTCCATGAGAGAAGAGGAGGAATCCTTGAACAATTCTGAGGTTCTGGGCCAGTTGGAGTAATCCTAGGACCAAGCAGGAGCCAGACCAGCAGAACATCAAGGGCTAAGGTTACAATGTAAGGGATTCATGCCTTTGGACTTAACTAATGCTGTGAGTTATGTAGATTGCGCAGGTCCAGAAGAAGAGGGCTGGCCCTCTAGCAACCTCCAGGTCTTTCCACCATGGGTACAGTGTTAAAGTCTAGGGAGTGATTACATAGGTCCTGGAGGAGATAAGTTTCACTGGGGGAGAGGGGATATTAACGTTCTAACTACCTCTAATGCTTTTCCTTTATTTTTTATGACTGGGTGGGTTATTTATATGGGTGATTCATCATTATTATACCTGAGGGAAGGAGATATGGCTCTATCAGAGGATAGAGGACTATATGGGTTATGTAAGTAGACAGAAGGAGACACGGAACAGCTATGGAGGTAAAAAAATGCCAAAATTTGACAAGTGATTGTATATGTGGATAGAGCACTGGGCCTGGAGTCAGGGTTCAATTTTGGAAGACCTGAGCTCAAATTTGGCCTCACACACTTACTGGCTGTGTGACCCTGGGCAAGTCACTTAATCCAGTTTGCCTTAGTTTCTTCATCTGCAAAGTGAGCTGGTGAAGGAAATGGCCAACCACTTCAACATCTTTGCCAAGAAAATCTCAAAAGGGGTCATGCAGAATCAGACAAAACTGAAAACAACTAAACAACAATGGATACATGGAGTGAATAAGAGTGATAGTCAAAGATAATGCCAAGATTTTGAACCTAGGTGGCTAGAAAGATGGTAGTACTCTTGATAGAAACAGGGAAGTTTAGAAGAACAGGCTTTTGGGGGAGGAGATAATGAGTTCTGTTTTGGACATGCTGAGTTTGAGAAGCCCATGGAATATCCAGTTTAAAATATCAATCAACAAGAATTTATTAAATACCAAGGATACACTGACAAAAATGAAATAACCCCTGCCCTCAAGGAGCTTACATTTTAATGAAATGTAAATATATAGTAATAAAATTTCCCTAAAACCACTGCTTTTCTTTGCAAGTGGATTCTATTAGCAAAGGAAGCACATCTTAGAAATAGCTACCTAATGGCAAACATAATATGGTGGAAGAAACACTGAATTTGGAATCAGAAGACCTGGGTCCTAACCCTGACTCTGTTACTTATACCTAGGTGTCTACTCTGCCTCTCTGAGCCTCAGTTTCCTTATCTCTAAATGAAAGGTGTGGACTTCCAGGTCCTTTTCCACATAATCCCATGCAATTCTTAGGCTCCCCCTGAGCCACCAGGCAGAGAGTATAGTTACAATCCATAGTCCCCAAGTTTAACAAAAGGTATTATGTAGAAACAAGCAAACCTGGTCTTGCATTTATGTTATTCTTTCCTGGGCCCTCTCTGATTTTATTTAGAAGTCATTTCTTAAAGGTAAACTCATTTTATGATTTTTTTGTGTGTGGTGGTGGTGGAGAACAAAGAATCAGTATAAAAATGCCCTCTACTTCAAAGAAGAAGGGTGAAAAATGGGCCTATATATGGACTGGTGATTGAGTCCTACCTTATCTACTACCTGAAAAGTTCCCTTTTCAATTGTGAAGTTAAAAGAGAGAAGTAAATGACAGAAAAAGGTGGTCTTTAAGGGAGAAGGGAATGTTCATTGATCAGAATGGTCCTGGTATTATCTACTAGGACCATAATCCTGGTAATTACCATTAAGGGCCACAATCACCTAAGGCAGACTCTCTATTTTTAACTTATTATTTTTAGAGAGATGAACCCTAAACATGCAAAGAATATAAAAAGTGAGGTTTCTTCCCCACAAGGGCAGTTGGTTGGCTGGTCTGAGCCAACTTGCCTTGGGTTTAAAATTAAAAATCAAGAAATCTTCACATTCTATATAGCTAGAGCTCTGGCTTAAACTTGGCTTGTAGATAGAGTCAGGTCAGACTCATACATATTGCCTATATGGTACATGTGAAAAGACACTGTGTCAAGATCTTAGGTATTTCTGCCTTGTAGTCTCTCTGCATTGACCTGCCATAGTTCCTGACATTCCTCATGTTAGAAATTTTCTTCTTTTCTTCTCCCTGCTCCCAGAAGGCATTATGGTATTGTGGAAAGAGGAATGGATTGGGAGTCAGAAAGTGCAAATCTAGCCTTAACCCTGTCACCAACTAGCTACATGACCTTGTGCAAATTATTGAGTCTCTTTGAGTCTTGGTATCTTCATCTGTAGAATAAGAGGGAAAGTCACATGATCTCAGAGCTTCCTTCTAGTCCTAAGATTTTATGATTTATGTTAAACTACAAAGTTAATTGGTTCCATGGGAACCAATTTGGAAGGCTTTGGGAGAATAAGACACAAATCTAGTAGGTTTTGTTATTAGGGGGAGGATCAAGAATGATCTGCAGCAT